TGGAGCAGCTCCCGAAGGACTGACCCCACAGAACACAGACCTGGAGCAGCTCCCGAAGGACTGACCCCACAGAACACCCCCCCGTGCCCCCTCTGCCGGTGCCAGCCCCGTACCTGGCGCGGCGCTTGCGGACCCTGCGCTCGTGCTCGGCCTCCTCGTAGTAGAACTCGTTGTGGCTGTTGTCCCGGCGCCGCGCGGCCGCCGCGATCACGGCCCGGGGCTGCCCCGTCGAGTTGTTGGTGGAGTTCTCTGCGGGGGACACAGGAGGGTCAGACAAGGCCTGGGAGTCCTTGGGGTGCCTGGCACTCCCCGGATCCCGCCCCGGGCTCTCCGGAGGGGAGGGGAAGGGAAGGGAAGAACAAGAGGAGAAGAAGAGGGGCAGAGAAGGAGCTCAGCTCACCCTCGCCGAGGGAATAGACCTTAAACCCGGACATTTTCTTGGACAGGACGGATTTTGGCAGGTTGAGCAGGGCGGGGTTGTAGACCGGGAAGTCGTGGTAGTAGTTCTCCAGGATCCACACGGCCGCTCGTTGGATGCTGCGGGGAGAGAGGGGCAGGAGCGGGTGGGGAGGGGAAACGCGGAGGGGAGGGAGGGATGGGCGGGTTTCCCAGGGAAGCTGCGGCTGCCCCCCATCCCTGGAAGTGTCCAAGGCCAGGCTGGAGCAACCTGGGATAGCAGAAGGTGTCCCTTCCCATGGGAACTGGATGATCTTTAAGGTCCCTTCCAACCCAACCCATTCCAGGATTCCATGTGCTGGCTGAGGTGGGATACGGGGAAGAAATTGTTCCCTGTGAGGGTGGGAAGGCCCTGGCACAGGTTATTCCGTGGCTGCCCCATCCCTGGAAGTGTCCAAGGCCAGGTGGGACGGGGCTTGGAGCAACCCGGGCTGGTGCAAAGTGTCCCCGCCCGTGGCAGGGAGGTGGAATGACACAACTCTCAAGGTCCTTCCAGCCCAAACCATTCCAGGATTCCATCAGTTCACGGGGCTATTAAGGTTGGAAAAGCCCTCTAAGATCCTCACGTCCACCCCAGGCCCCATCCCCACCCTGTCACTCAGTGCCATGTCCACTCCTTCCCTGGACACCTCCAGGGCTGGGGACTCCCCCACCTCCCCGGGCAGCCCCTGACAAGGTCCAACCACCCTTCCCACGAGCAACACACCCCCCCAGCCACACACCCACCACCCCCTTCCGCTCACAGGGACACTCCACCGCCCCGAAACCCGTTGGGTACCTGAGGTGCCCGACGTTGTAGAAGCGACTGGCGCCGTCGGCCGAGCGAACGGCCTTGAGGGTGAACTGGGGCTGGAGCTGGCGCAGCTCCAGCAGCACCACGGCCAGGTAGTGCACGAAGAGCAGGGCGTCCACCAGCGACACGGCGAACTGCACCACGCCCCGGTAGTCGCGGTCCCGCGAGTCCAGGATCCGGACGCCGTAGAAGAGCCAGTAGGACACGACCAGCAGGAAGACCAGCACCATGAGCAGCGCCCGGAAGACGAAGACGCGCGGGAAGAAGGCTTTGGGGCGGCGGAAGAACAGGGCCCAGCTGCCCAGCAGGAGGATGAGGAGCTTGAAGGCCACGGAGATGAAGAGCCCCTCGCAGGGCGTCCCGCAGGGCTCCAGCTCCTCCCGCCACAGCAGCTGGGGCAGCAGCAGGAAGGCCAGGGGGGTGAGGAAGGCCAGCAGCGCCAGCGCCCCGGCCAGCGCCACGCCCAGGTGCCGGGAGCAGTCCAGGTGGGCGCTGTCCTCCATGTCCTTGGTGATGCGGGTGAGGTCATCGTGGGAGATGCTGTGCTCCGACGTCCCCGTCACCACTGTGGTGGTCTCGCCCCAGTTGTCGTCCTGGGTTACACAGGGGAGGGTTACGTGGGGTGTGTGGGGGGGTCCCAGGGCCCTCAGCAGACCCTCCAGCCCAGCTCCAAGCCCACCCACCCCACCTCGTCGCCCGCAGCGCTGCCGGGCGCCGTCACCCCCATTGGGGTGGTGGGACCCCAGCCCGGGGTGGGGGCAGGCAGGGATTTGGGTGGGACCCTCTGGAAAAGCCCCGCCGGGGCTCCTTTCCGCGCTCCGGCACCGGCGAGAGCGGCTCTGGGAGTGGGAAGTCTCCTCCTCATTGGTGGGGCCAGAAGGAACATGCCCAGCTCCTGTCCCAACACACCTGGGAAGGAGTCCCTGGGATCCCAGCAGGTCTCCTCCTCCTCCTCCTCCTCCTCCTCCCCCCAGAACCTCCTCCTGCGGCCGCAGCGGTGCCCAAACCACCCGTTCCCGTTTGATCCCTTGTTTGATCCCTTCCCACACGTCTGTCCCCGTGTCCATCCCCTCCCTCAGCCCTTCCCAGCCTGGTTTGCAGCACTCGGACCCCCCTGACACTCGGAGGGTTATCGTCATCGTGTGGGTTTTCCCACGGATTTCTTCAGGAAAGCCGGGAAATTCCTCCCTGTGAGGGGTGGGGAGGCCCTGGAAAAGGTTGCCCGGAGAAGTTGTGGCTTCCCTATCCCTGGAAGTGTCCAAGGCCAGGCTGGACAGGGCTTGGAGCACCCTGGGGCTGGTGGGAGGTGTCCCTGCCCATGGCACGGGGTGGGACTGGAGGAGCTTAAAGGTTCCTCCCAACCCAAACCATTCCATGAGTCCGTGAATTTTATTTCAAGTTCAACCAAATCCTCGTCCCGGGGCTTTCCAGAGGGACGGGAAGCAGAGGGTTTGGGGGGCCTAAGTCCAGCCCATGCCCAGGAGAGCCCTGGATGCCACGGCTGGACGGGGCAGGCTCAGCCTCCGCCGGCGCCGGCTCCTGGGAGAGGGAGGATGAAAAGAGCCGAAAAGAGCCGGAGCCGCCGGCGTGGGCGGCTGGGAGAGGATGAAAGCCCGGGATGAGGCTCCGCGGAGTCCCGAGGAATCCCTCCCAGCACCCACGGAGGGCACGAGGGACCCCTGTGGGCCAGCGAGAGACACGACACGGAGCCTCCTCCGCGATCCCGCCGGGACGGGGAGCCGGGATGGGGAGCCGGGATGGGGCTCCGGCCGAGCCGGCATCGCCCCCCGGGCGCGGTGCTGATCCCTGGGGAGCGCATCCCTAAGGACTGGATCCCTGGGGGCGTTTTCCAGCCCGTGCTGAGCCCGGGGGCACCGCGACAGCCGGTCCCCCTTTCATTTGCCCCGGCCCGACCCAACCGGCTCGACCGCTCCGCCGGGAAGCTCCGCCGGGAAGCACCGGGCGTGTCGGGAGCCCCTGCCAGCGGCTCCCACCCTCGGCAGCACCCCCGGGGGGGGCACAGAGGTGCCAGCCCCGTCCTGCCCCCCCCCCAAGCCCCACTCACCCTCTCGTCCCCCCGGGTGGACTCGTTGTCCAAGAGGGGCTCTCCCGGCGCTTGGATGGTCACGGATTTATCCCCCCGGCTCCCGTCCCGGCTTTTGGAGCGGTGCCGGTCCCGCCGGTCCCTGGAAGGCAAGAGAAGGGCAGCAGGGTGGGCACGGCGGGGTGGCAGCGCCCAGCAAGGCCGGGGGGACCCCTGGAGCCCTCACCTGTGCTTGCGGGAGCTGCGGGAATGGCCGGATTTGTAGGAATATCCCGAGTACTGCGACTCATTGTCCATGTTGTCGGAGCGCCGGGGCTTGTGCCGCTCCAGGGCTTTGGGTCTGCCCGGCCCCGGGACGGCGGGCAGGGCCTCCTTCAGGGCGGGCTTCTTCAGGCCCAGGGGCACCTTCAAGAAGTCGACCGTCACCTTGAGGGTCTCTATTTTGATCACCTGGTCGGGCTCTTCTCAGGAGAAAAGGACTCGCCCGCCTGCGGGGACGGAGGGGAGGCTCAGCGGCGGCATCCCGGCATTCCCACAGGGAATATCCCAGCCAAGGGTCCCATCCCCTGCAGCCCCGGCAGCAGCAGGGGCGGGACAGCAGCAGGAAAAAGGATTTGGGGTCATTTTGGGCATTTTCGGGTTCCTCCCGTGCCCAGGCTGGGGCCGGGCTGGCCGCCCTTCCCCCCAATTAACCGCTGGGATCTACACCTTAATTAACACCACCATCATTAGTTAAACTGCCAAGACAGTGCCCAAGGGGTGGGGGCCCGAAGGAAGGGGAGGAATAACCGGGTGCAGACGCGGTTCCAGGCCCAGCCGGGCGGGGGGAGCTCTGCCCGGACACGTTCCCTGCGCCGGGATCCCACACCCAGGAGAGCCCCAGGAGAGTCCGGGAGCAGCGACTCCCCGGGATGCAGCTCTCCAGGGGATCCAGGAGCAGCGATTCCCCGGGATGCAGCTCTCCAGGGGCTCCAGGAGCAGCGATTCCCTGGGATGCAGCTCTCCAGGGGATCCAGGAGCAGCGATTCCCTGGGATGCAGCTCTCCAGGGGATCCAGGAGCAGCGATTCCCTGGGATGCAGCTCTCCAGGGGATCCAGGAGCAGCGATTCCCTGGGATGTAGCTCTCCAGGGGATCCAGGAGCAGTGATTCCCAGGGATGCAGCTCTCCAGGGGATCCAGGAGCAGCCATTCCAATGGGATGCAGCTCTCCACGGGATCCAGGAGCAGCAATTCCAATGGGATGCAGCTCTCCAGGGGATCCAGGGACAGCAGGGAGCTCCCGCCCCACTCAGGTGTAAATCCCACGTGTGGTGCCCACCCACCCATGTCTGGTTCCGCTGGGATGGGAAAACAACCCCGTTCCCAGATCCCAGGCACAAGGCACCGGGAATCTGTGGGATGCAGCAGGACCTGGGGTCCCACTCCAGCTCATCCCACTGCCTTTGGGGACCCCCAAAGTGCCCTGATGTGGGTTTGGCACTTCGGGGGCTGTGTCCCCCCTCCAGGGAGGGAATTTGGACAAGTGGGATCTCCAGGGCTGCCTGATCCAACCCAGGAATGTTGGATCCCGCTGGAGCATCCTGCAAATCCTCCTGCCATCCCCCCGAGGTGCTGGGGGGGCACCCCCAGAGCCCCGAACCCCTCGTGCTGGGGGGGCCCAGCCGTGTTTGGGAGCCACCCCGGGTTTCCAGGGAAATGCCATTTCCACCAAACAACCCCCAAACGTCTTTTGGCCTCTTTTCCGAGGCCTCCAGGAGTGGGAGCCGGGGTCAAGGAGGCAAAAAAGGGGGGGGGCGAGAGGATGGATTCTTTTGTCCCAGACGCTGGATGCTCCCACATTTATCACCATGGAAACAAAAGCCGCCCCCCCCCCAGCGTTGTCCGGGAGATGGGAACGGCGCCGGGAGCGCGTCCCGGCATTCCCAGCGAGCGCTGGGGGAAGGGGCCAGGAGAGAAAAGACCCCCCTGTGCCCCCCCCCCGGCCCCCCTTTCCCGGGCTTTGTTTGCGGGCAGGGATCGGGTTTCTGCCGGGAACAATGCCTGGAGCCGCCTCCACCCAGCTCCGGCCCCAGTGACACCAGTAAGAGGCCGGTACTGGGATTTGGGGGGGGTGTCGGGGGTCTCTCACTCACCCGAGGGGCAGCGCGGGGGGTCCGGGCGAGGCGGCTGCAGGCGGGCACCGACCCCCGTCCCGCTGCTCACCGAGGCACTTGGAGCACCCGGAGCCTCCGGAGGGGTCGGCATCCAGCTGGTGGGCACCCGAGGGGGGGTGGGCATCGAGGGGGGGGCTCACGGCGCGGGCGGCAGCGCCGGGGGGCCGCGGTGGAGCTGCGGAGAGAGAGGGAAATCAGGAACGCCCGCATCCCTCCGGGAATGTCGCCCCGGCAGCGCTCCAGGACTCCCGGGGAGCACCTGGGAAGAGGGATGTGAGGGTGGGATGGATTCCCCTCCACACACCCCTGCGGCCCCAAAAGCTGCCCGAGGTCACCTCCCTGATCGATCAGTCCAATGAAATTTGGGGTTTTGCAGGGATTTGGGGTTTCCCAGGGATTTGACGCCCCTCGGGCACCACAATCCCATGGGCAGCAGCCCCGTGTCACCCCCGAGCCAGGGGTTCCCCGTGGCTGTGCTGGTGGTGTGGGGACCTCAGGACAACCCCTGGCATTGCCACCCTGAGGGATCAGCCAAATTAACTCCGGGATTTTCCAGGTATCCCGATGTCCCAGGGATTTAACACCACTTGGCCACCACACTGGAATTCCCCCCCTGGAATCCAGGGGTTCCCATGGCTGTGCCAGTGGCCTGGGAACACCAGGACACCCCCAAACCTGCCCGGTGTCACCCCCCTGAGGGATCAGCCAAATTAACTCCAGGATTTTCCAGGTATCCCGATATCCCATGGATTTAACACCCCTCAGCCACCACAGTCCCACACTGGAATTCCCCCCCCTGGAATCCAGGGGTTCCCATGGCTGTGCTGGTGGCCTGGGGACATCAGGACACCTCCCCAGCCCCAAAACCTGCCTGGTGTCACCCCCCTGAGGGATCAGCCAAATTAACTCCGGGATTTTCCAGATATCCCGATGTCCTATGGATTTAACACCCCTCAGCCATCACAGTCCCACACTGGAATTCCCCCCCCTGGAATCCAGGGGTTCCCATGGCTGTGCCAGTGGCCTGGGGACATCAGGACACCCCCAAACCTGCCCGGTGTCATCACCCTGAGCGAGCAGCTGAAAGAAAGTTGGGATTTTCCGGACATCCAAGTGTCTCACGGCACCAGCCCAGGGATTTAAGGCCCCTTGGCCACCACAGTCCCACACTCCAACCCCTCTGGAATTCTCCCCTCCAATCCAGGGGTCCCCCTGGCTGTGCTGTTGGGGGGGGGAGATCCGGGGGCTCTCCAGATCCATAGTGGGGGGATGGAGGTCGATCCATTCCGAGGGAGAACCCGGCACTGATTCCAGCTGGGAGCGAGTGAGGAGCTGGGGGAGCTTGGCTTGTCCTTCCCAAGCTGGTGACACACCCCAGGCTGCAGGGGGAGGCCTTGGGGGGCTTTCCCAGGGTTTTCCAGTGGGGTAGATGGATTTTTCCAGCGTGATCCGTGGATTTCCACACCCGGACCAAGGCTGGACCCTCCGTCCTGCCCGCACCGAAACGGCCCAGCTTCCTCCCCAGGGGCTGGCGGGGGAATCACCCCCATCCCAGCAGTTTTCCAAGGATCATTGGGAATTCAGGCAGCCGTCCTGCCCCTGGAAGCAGGAGCTCCTCGTCCTCCCGTGCCAGTCTGGCTGCTCCAGCAGGGAAAAAGGGACGGTTTGGCCGGCAGAGCTGGGAAAAGCCGGTTGAGCAGCACGGGGCACTCCGGTGGAGAGGCTGGGGAGGGATTCCTGGAGTCTCCAGGAGGAGCAGCTTCGCCTTCCCGGGCCCAGGGAGCCGCCGAGGGAGCGCCGGGAGCCGGAGCCAGATGCAAACGAGGAGGAGAACTCCCATTTTTAACAGCCAGGTGATTCTGGAGCGTCAGAACAAACCCTGCCCAGGGGGAGCCGAGGGGTTTTTTTGCCCTCTCCCGACGTCTTTCAAGCCCAGACTGGATGATGGTTCCTGGGGATGGGGCCGGTTCAAAGCACGGGGAGCTCGGAAAAGCCGCTGCCTTTGAGTCCCCAACCTCAAACACCCACTGGCTTTTTGTATTCAAATGCTCTGCCCCGAAAAAATAATATAAAATAATAAAAGAATAGATCCAAGCGTTTGGGAGATGAAAAGGCTGGTTTCAAACAGCTCCAGGGCGAATCCTGAGGGGAATCCTCTCCTGCTTTGCTCCCCTTGGGACTGAGAGCTGGACACGAGGCATCCTGGAGAAAAATCCTCTTGGAGCAAAGGGCAGAGGGAGAATCCGGTGGCTGAGCAATTCTCCTGGCCAAGAGGGTTTGGGAAGGGAGCAGGGAGCACCCACTGCCATTTACACCCCCGGTGCTCTTCTCCCAGCACCTGCAAATCCAGGACAATCCCCTGAACGCTGGCACCAGGGCAGGAACCTGGGATGTGGATCCGAGAGGAGTGTGAGCAGGGCCTGGCCAGAGCTGCCTCCCCACTGCCAGGGAGCAGGAGGAGCCACCCAGGTGTTCTCCTCCTAGACAGAATCCCAGAATCCCTGAGGTTGGAAAAGCCCTCCCAGCCCATCCAGTTCATCCCCACCTTGCCCCCAGCCCAGAGCACTCAGTGCCACATCCAGTCCTGCCCTGGGCACCTCCAGGGCTGGGCACTCCCCCACCTCCCTGGGCAGCCCCTGCCAAGGCCTGAACACCCTTTCCAGCAGGAAATTCCTCCTCATGGCCAACCTGACCCTCCCCTGGCACAGCTTGAGGCCGTTTCCCTCCTCCTGTCCCTTGTTCCCTGGGAGCAGAGCCTGACCCCCCCCCAGCTCCCCCATCCTGTCAGGGAATTCCAGAGCCAGAAGGTCCCCCCTGAGCCTCCTTTTCTCCAGGCTGAGCCCCCCAGCTCCCTCAGGAGTCCTCCAGACCCTTCTCCTGCTGCTCCAGCCCCTCAATATCCCTCCTGAGTTGAAGGGCCCAGAACTGGACACAGCACCTGATGTTCCCCTCACCCTCTAACCCGACCAGCATCACAACAACAGGGAAACCGAGGCAGGGAGCAGGCCAGGAGGACGTGGAGCCCTGGATTCCCAGCACGGAACTCCAGTGTTTTTCCTCCCAGGGAACCCAGGAGGGCTGGAGGAACAGCCCTCGGCAGAGCCAGGACACTGAGGCACAAACTGGGACCCACAGGTGGAAAACCCACCCCGAGCCTCAGCTCTGCCTCCTGCTGAGACTCCTGATCACAGAACCATAGAAAAATAGAACCACAGAACCATAGAAA